ACACAGTGGTTGTAGACAAGCTGTGTTTCAACAGCAAATATTTGGATTTGGAGGCAATGACTTTATAATGCTCTCATTATTTCCCATTTAACTTGATTTTAAGTTAGACGCAAGAGACAATATACATTCACCCACTTGATTTACCAGCTGTTTAGTAGTTGTTTTATGCAGAAGGTTATGATTTTTTTGACTCAACTAGTGCATTTTGCTCTCTAAAAAAATAACCCCAACTTTATCCTGATCAAAGTGGATCAGCTTTAATCGTACTTGAGTTGTATTACACATTTCTTCATATAACCAAATGGCATTGACATTTAGAATGAGTGAATTACTGATAAACTATACTGAGATCCCTTTTTGAGGCTGTTTCATTTTGTAACTGTAGCATGCATCATTAATGTGCTGTAATTGCTGCATTGTTTCTGCTTCCTTCATTACCCTTCATTATTTCTCAAGGACTTGAGCGCAGATTAAACCTCAACCCATCGGGGTTTATACAACTATGAGGGCAGGTGTTTGTGTACATGCGTATGAAAGTTTATGAGTGTCTATTGTTTGTGTGTGCTTGTCTCATTTCTGGACTGGAATAATGAGTCCAGATGAGCTTGTGATAGGCTCTGCAGTGTAGTTCAGCCTCACTCCCCACCTGGCCTGTTCCTATTGGCCTCTCCCTTTATTAGCTTTTCCTCATGCTGGACGCAGAGGGAACAGCTTGGTACCCTCCTCCTCCCGTCACCACTCAAACCTCTCCCAACTCTATTTTCCTGCTAATTACCTTGTTGTACGAGAACCAAATGCTACCTAACGATTCACTTAATTGCAAAAGTGGTACATTAGATATCAAAGGACCTTTTTTAAAAGTCATCCAGTCCCATTCCAAGCGACATTTAAAACTAACTCAACACATCTGTTTTATTTCTGTATCATTTGCATTTTGAAAGGTTAAAACGCTTAGCAAAGCAGAAAAAGTGTGAATTTATAACTCAAGACCTTGTGTCTTTATCTAACTGATGCGACCCTCACGAATGAGTACATATACTTAATGCACATGCAAGCACATACAATACACATCAGAAGGTCTGAATCCAACTTGACACCCAATTAAAACTGTACCTGTTCATTTATGACCATATCTAGTGCACTGTGTATGTGTGCTACTCATCCACCTGAAGAGATGGTCCAAATTAACATTTTTCTTGGGATTCTGTCGCCCCAGGTGAGTCTTGTCACACTTAAATATACACAGATATCCGTGGTGCTAGCAATTTATTCAGCAGCGGTGGCTGCAGCTAGAATTCTTGACAGAGTCTTCAAAATGATTTATGAACCTGCTCATTGACCTAGTTTATGCCAAAAAGGGAAAAAAAAAAGGTGGCACACTCACTTACATGCAGAACAGTTTTATTTGCAACGCACTGAAGTACTGTGCGGTCTGTTTTGAGTTTAGAAAGCTGCATATCCTGCTTATAGCAGGATATTCTTTTTTTTTTTTTGCTGAAAGCAGGTAAATACAGAACAACTGCCAACAAACTCACCACTTAATAATGCCAAAAGTTGCATCCTGACACTTGTTACACGCACCATGGATCCATGAAACACACTCCAAACAATTCATGCATTTGTGAACAATGTGTGCACACTTAAACTATCTGGTTGAAAGATTAAGTACATTAAAGACACAGTAAAGTAAGTCCAATCTGATACGCATTAATAATGCAAAAGATTTTCTCTCTGAGGCCGCCTCTCCTCTTTCCTTTCATTCCACCTCAGCTGAAGCGGTGAGGTCTGCGCAGCTTGAGGTCCAACATGCAGCACTGCTGCTCTGCTCAGTGGACACTGTTGAATCTGTTTTTAAAGCTGCGATTCAATTATCTCACCAGGGTCCTGCTCAACCAAACGTGAACAGAGGGGGGCAAAGTTGGGTTCAATACAATGAAACCAGCGGAACGGCAAAAGAAGAGCAGTAGTTGGAGTGGGGGTGGGGTGCAAGATGTATCATAAAGTTATCTCAACATGGATATAGATTTAAATGTTGCTTCTATCTGTGTGATTAGCTTCGGCTTTACTAGACGGATGTCAGGACCTGATAAAGCTAATCACTGCAGTAAAGGCAATGCAGTGGGACTTAGCACCGCCACCCTTCTTTACAAGATGTGCTTAAAAGAGAGAGCTAGGAAAGAAAACAAGCCATGCATCAAGCAATCAACAAATTGAAAGCCATAAAATGAAACAGTTGTACAAGATGATCGCAGTCCTACAAATTAACATACAATAAAACTGATTGTCATTTTGTGACTGTCCAAAACAAAAAAAACTTGATTTGTGCATTGTTATCATTTCATTCATTGTTTAAGCCTGATTTGCAAAAGTTGAAGCTGTACCCAAGTGCCATCAGACAAGAAAACACTGGAAAAATTGTCAGTCGATCACAAGACCAATCATAGACCAAGACTAATATGCTTGCATGTTCAAGAGGGAGTGTGAAAAGTGAAACAGCGTGATAGCAGAACAGCAGTGGAGCTGTTTCATGAGAACTGCAGCAATGGCTACTTTGTTGCCCTTGGCCAGACATGTGACTGGTTCACACACCATTCCTAAAAGTCAACTTCATCACTTATCTCCTTAATGTTCCTTACATCACATGCCATTAAAACTGAAACAAGTCCCTAAGGTCTTAAAATAATATACCACCCTAATAGTTCAGAGTTGAAATCTGCTCATACTCAGATCATTTATATGAAATAGTTTTACTTTAATACAACTTTGATACAATGTTAGATTGTAATTAATTGACAGACATCACTCTCAGGCTAAAAGAACATAGTTTAATAGACAAAATAACTTCCTGACTCTGCAGTTGTCATGATGATTGTGTTCCAAAAGGCAATGATGGATATACAGCATGAATTCTGGGTGAAAACGATTGTTTCTCTAAACAATAACCGTCATGGAAACAATAAGAGATGGTGCGCTCCAAAATAATCTCTGTCATCTCAGACACTAATTTCACCAGCTGCATTTGAGCATAATTTAGTTTGTGATGGTTAAAAATACCAGAAAATAAATAGCTGCAGAAAAAAAAAAAGTATTGTCACAATGTGGCTTTTAACTGTTTATAAAAGAAGAAAAATATACAAGACAAAATGTCAATGAATTGCTGTCATTGGGAAATGAGTGCACACATATTGAATTAAGTTTTGTGCATAGAAGCAAACAAAAAGAACTAACATAAAATTAATTTATTACAACAGGGAGAGAGCTCCAAAATAGATTTTTTTTTACGAGTGGTTTAACTCTAATATGCATGAGGTCATATTAAACTGTACACTAGCCCTCCTCTAAATTCATACTTGAACTTTGCAAGGCAATTAACTTGTTATTCATAAAATGTCACATCAGGTAAGGTCATCATAAGTAAAACTTTGAAGTTGTACCATAGCAGGTATAGAATGAAGCAGAACTTATGCTGTCACTTACATCATTTACCAAATGTACCAGTGATTTGGTTTTAGTTTAAAGTTGAGGTGGTGAGCTGCACTCAGACAGCTGTTTACGTCATTTTTGACCGAATCTAGTCCTTCTTTGTGGTGCGTCTGGGAAGATCACATGTTCAAGATTATATATAAACTAAGGAGAATCATTTCTGAACTTAATATTAAAACCCTGATGTGCTGATCCCCATCTTGAAAAATTACTTAAAAAATGAGACCAGTGCAAAAGGCCTGTGAAAATTAAACTATCTAGATAGCTTCACTTTTGTTTGAGCCAGGACAGTCCTGGAAACGGTATTCCCTTGGTTTAAAAATAAAATACTCTGAAGATTTCATTACTTTTTCATAAATTTTCATTTATATAGGGAGAGACCTCTGAAAGCAATCAATAGATCAAGCTACTGTCATATAGTTAGCGCCTGGAGGTTGCTGGAAGGCCCTTGGGAGTGCAGCACGTCAGATCAGAAGCAATAACTAACGCTGTCCATTTACATTTCCCAGGATCACAAAATGAGAAGTCCATTGCAATCGTAATCACCTTCAATTACAACAAATATCAATTGAATGAGTCATTTCTTATATTTTCTGTTCAAAATTAAGTCATATAACAAAATAGCAAGTGGTTTGTCTGCTGTAAATAGAAAACCAAGCTCAGCATTTTGCTACACTGAAGATAGATTTGGCAGACAGGCTAAGATTAAAGTTGCTTTCATAATATGAGATCTTGAAAATCGGTCCATAATGCATCAAGCCTTACACATAATCTGTCTTAAAGCACATCTCTAAATCACACAGGACTGTGCTACAGCATAAATCACTTGTAAAAACAACAAAAGGCCACAGAGCCTTTTGAATCCACATTATGGGCAGTTTGAGATGCCTGGGAGAGGTTGCATCGGAATCCCGGATTGAGCTTCCCGGGGTGCTGGGCTCATCTTCAAAGGTAATTTGATCCACAGCTCAGGTTCTGCCTGTCACCAACACAGTTCAGACAGCTTGAGGTAAATGTCCATCAGGAGCCACGCTTGTCATACTACCCCCACTCAGCATGTGAAGAACCCATGTCTGCCATGCCATCATGTCCCTCTCATAGTGACAGCAGCTTTATGTCCAACTCAAAGGTCTGCAGACAACCTAAAACAACTCCCCTGAGCAAAATAGTATCAAATGCATCAAGTTCATGACTGACAAACTCTTTCAGCAGCTCATTCCCTCGCCAAGAAACATCACTTTCAGAACTACTGAAAATCATTAAGAGTTAATAAAAGAGAAGATTGACAGCAAAATGTAATCTGCTTAAAAATAGAGTGTTTATGTCTACCTCAAATTAAATGTTCCTTTATTTGCTAGAATTGCAAAAGGCATTTAATAGACAAGTTTCTATAGGATGTTTGCTAAAATGTAACAGACTATGATTAGTTGAAAGCAGTATTTCAACTAGAACATGACTCAGTTGTTCCTTTATCTAGCCATTTGCTTAAGATATTGTTTCAACAGAGCAAAGGAATTTCAACATGACAGTAAAGAGGAAAAATGAGGAAGAAAGGACTGAAAATATCTTGACTTACATGCTACTTCCAAAGATGCGTTACGGCTGACAGCTTCTCCCAGGTAGTTCCGGGCTACGCAGACATAGGCCCCTTCATCCGGTTTGCTCCGTCGTCCATGAACGATACGAAGGAAGAAAAGTGAGCCGGTGGGAAGCAGCATGCGGTGAGAACGTGGGTCATCTTTGTCAGTTTCCACCCTCTCTCCATCCTTGTACCACTCCACTGTTGGGGTCGGCCGGCCCTCTGCTTTACAGTTGAGAGTGGCAGGCTCCCCTTTGGATACAATCAGGTCCGAGGGGTGCTCCACAATTCGAGGTGGGGAGTCCTCTTGGCGCAGACGAGATCCTGAAGGAAGGAGACGAGCAAATAATTAAAGCACCACCAAAAATATTTTAAACCCCCAAAATTGACCGAAAACAATATTTTGGAGATATATTACTTTGCTTTCTTCCGTGGCTATACAGATCAGAAGAGCAGTGAGAAAAGAGGTGCAAGGCTACACTTTAATTTGTTACTAATCCCCATTTTATAATCGAAGCAAGTTTTAATAAACACGTTTGTCAAACCAGTATAAGAGGTCATCTGCTCAAACCTTTATGTAGGATTGTGAAACTAGTTGGACCCATGGGTGATCAATAAATGAATAGCATACATTAAACTTACATTTAAATATCACACAAGTCATGAGTTTGGGATTCAAGAAAATTCATAATTCATGTCTATAAATATTGGAGTTTAGACTGATGTCAAATTAAATGCTAATCCCTTGTGCTAAAAAAAAACATACAGGCTTCCAGTGAACTCTCTCGCTCTGGTGGCCAACATAATGGTCCCTCAGTCAGATTGCTCTGTTTGCATGTGACCGGGTTTTATCCATATAAATGATGTGCTCTGGACCACACACATTTACATCACGTAGGTCATAGCTATGCAACAATCAAATTGTTTAAAACTGTGCCAAGCCATAACAGATATTTTACAGGGGAGAGGAAATCAGGCAAACTTTTTCAAAAGTTAAACATTTTTTTCTTGCAGTAAAAGTACAAGTCTAGTCTTATACACTACATGAAATGTCCAATTACTAATTGCAGGAAAGTTGGCAGCCACATCCACACCAATCAGTGCTGAAATAATCTTAGAGATAAGCTCTTGCTAAATGCGTTGTTGCACGTGTGCATGTGATTGAGCTGAGTTGATGGCTGTGACCTTCCCCAGAGCAGTGCACAGGGCCAATAGGACAATTCCTGCAGTATAAAGGCCCCATGTTCCACAAAAAAAAAGCCTTTTTGCTTGAGTAAGAGCTAAATTTAACGTGCGATGAAATAAAAACAGAGGAGGTTCCAGGTCCCTGCTCAGTTTGTCTTGTATTTGCTCCACCACCTCCCTTACTTGAATCTCCTGAGGGAGAAACTGAATAAGCTGTACCCTTAAAAATCTATGGGCAAAAGGGCAAGCATGGTTAGAAACTCCCTTATCAGCACAAAATGTACTTAAAAGCCTCTGGCTGAAGCAGATGTGTGCACACACACATGCACATGCAAATGCTGTGATTCTCTCAGCATAAAAGTGCACAAGTCCACCAGTTGTCAGGAATCAAGCATCAGACAGAAGCATATTGACCCATGAACAGGAGGTGGTTTGTTCTCTTTTCTTCCTAATTTGGGCTAATTCCCTCTGTCATTGATTAGTGATTGGGCCTAGTGTCCTTCGCTAACTGGGGCGACGGACAAGGGGTTAGTGCCTGGGTGGTTAATGGTAGCATGTTCTCACTGGTCACAATCTAATCTTACTGGTAATATGTAGAATACTAACTATGCTGCTGGTAGTAAAACAAGTAAACAATAAAACTACAGTATGCAGACAGCAGCTCAGTTCATAAATAGAAACTGAAATAAAGGACATCCATAAATATCCTGATGCATGCTACATAAATCCATAAAGTATGTTCACACTGCAGTTCTTAATGTTAAATTCTTGATTTTTTGCTGAGGTTCTATTATTATTTATTTATTTTGCTTGATGCTTACTTTAGAATTTAATGGCGACTGCCATCAAACTCTTGTTTGAGACATGGTCCAAAGCGACCCATGTGCACAGAAAAAATGGGACATCAAACACAGCACGCATTGATTACGATGATAAATATGACTGCTACAGAGTAGCATATGTGCATCACTTCTGAAGTTGTTCTGTAATCAGAGACAACAAAATTATTACCTGTCATGCTTATTTTGTTCAGTGATTACGTTTGATCTTGCCACTTCGTGTCTACGTTGGTGCAGAACTGCACTTCTCAAAGAGAATAAATGACCTAAAAGTACAGGAAAAACACTAATCTAAGTAGTGACATCATCTTTCTACTTTGTAGTATTAATATGATTGCACACCATCGCCAGCATCGTATGTAGGTGAAGATTCTCAGTCATCCAAGATATAGCAAATAAAAGCGAAAATAAATAAAAAGATGAAGCAACTGGACTTCTATTATGTAGCTGAAAACTTGCAGAGTTCTATGCTTTAAACTGAACAGCAATGGTAAGAATATGCTCAGTATATGGTTTTGTTCACACACCCCCTACTTCCATTATATAAAAGATGGGTGAAATACAATATGGTCATTCACTAAGGTTGCTTAGAAAACATCAAATGTTTCTTGTTTAGCACCACATAGGAAAGTGACCTTCGTTGGATTTGGAAAATCAGGGGTGGGGAGGTGGGGAAAATTGGAACAGTTGAATACAGAGCGTCATAAAAAGATCAGATATGGGTCACATATGGAAAAAATATAAAGTATAAAATTTGTGCCACATTGGCCTGCGGTGTGAATGTAGTTCGACACTCCCCATCTCCCTACATGAAGTGTCAAATGCACATTTATTCCTATCTCATTGAAGCATCTGTTTCTCCCCTTAATCCACAAACCCCACTGGGGTTTTACGCAAAGGCCAGTGCACATGCACAGCACTAAACTGTGGCAGCCCTCTTCGATTTATATCAGTCTAATTTCTTTAAATCCAATTTGTATTCCAATCTACAGCCTTCTAATCACTTAAACCTCGAGTTTCCATCTGTTCTTTTCTTTCCTCTGGAAATGAGCACAGCAGATGACTCTACAATTGTCCTTTCACTGCCAGAGAAAGCAAAGCTTGGTGCACAGAGGACCAGACGTGGCTGGGCAGTGGCCTTCCTGAGTGGAGAGAGTCAGGTGTGAGGGTAGCAAAGGTTAAAAGCACATCCATATGCCACAGACTATAGTCTAAAACTGTCCCATCAATCTCAATACTGCATATGCTCAGCATGTTAACCATGCCAGTTGTTTCAAAGTGAAAATCACCCATAAATGCTTGTGTCTACATGGGTGTGCATATAATTTACATGAACTCTTGTTTCCACATAAATTTGTGCTGCCCAGAAAAAATCTTATAATAATAACAACTTCATGTGCTTCTCCATCACCAAGAAGTCAGATCTCGCCCCTCACAAAACTCAAAGTCAATTCTCAGTTTCCTATTGGGTCCCCTTTCCACTCTCTTTACGGCAAATGGGGCTTCTGTTGCCCTTTTAATGTGATCATTGGTGCTGTGCAATCAAGTGCTCTCTGAGCTGAGGCGAGTGCACTTCACTGGGTCTCAGGGCACACGCTCCAATCAAAATGTGGTGTTTCCCCCTGTCTGCAATAACACCACCATTACTTTTCACCACTGCTGTGCAGTCATCCACTCTTAGCGAAAAGCAGGAACCAGAAAACAAACACAAAACATGGACAGAAAATGAAACCAGGGAGGGGTTAGTGAACCAGGTGATTCTTCTCTGCCTTTTTTTCTTTCAGTCTACTTATGTCAGCTTCACTGAAATGCAAGCGGCTTTGCTTTGCTGTCATCCAATATATTTGTGACATTTGAGCAGATATTCTTTGTTTTGTCATGTTCAGAACAACATTTGTATGACACAACAGAACTAGCATTAAAAACTACTTTCTATGTAACGTTTTGATAAAATTGGTGGAAAAAAATCTTCAATGTTTCCAATAACTGCAAGATATAACAACCTCAGTTACCCTTCGTCTTCGACACTGACCAGAAACCTACAAGAAATCGTTTCTACTTTCATGGTTCCATGTTTATTCATGTGTGCAACAGAAGGTCAGGCCTTTGATGATCTTTTTGTAATTATTTTTATTAGCTCCCAGGAGAAATTCTAGCCCACAAACCAAATCAATACACACACCAGTTTCAAGCAGAGCATAAAAAGAAGAGCTCCCCAAAGAGATATTATTTATTCTGCCAACAGATATTTGCTGATCACAGGTAACCAAGAGCAACCTCAGACCAGGGCAAGAAGCTCCAGTCAGTGAAGCTTCGGAAAACATCAAACGGGATAACCAAGGCCTGGGCCAAGATGTACTAATGCTGCAGCATGAACGATAAAATGGCCGACATTTCAATGGAAAATGTTTTCAAAGCTTATAAACTGAGTAAATATAAAAACGTATACATTTTAAAAATGTTACATACTGTATGTTTCAGACCCATGTTGTTCACTAAAAATATTTTGGCTTTCATTTTTTTTAACCTCCTCCAAGCTATTTCTGCCTTTACCTCCCAGTATCGCTGTTTGTATTTCCCAAGCTCTCCATCCCGTTATATTGTACCCTTAGAAATAGGGTGATAGAATCCATCCATCCATCCATTATCTTTACCCGCTTGTTCCATTTTGGGTCACGGGGGTCGCCGGTGCCCATGTCCAGCAATCACTGTGCGAGGGGCGGGGTACACCCTGGAAGGGTCGCAAGTCCATCACAGGGCCACATAGAGACAAACGAGACTAAAACCATTCACTCTTTCACTCACACCTAGGGACAATTTAGAGTTACCAATCAGCCTAACATGCATGTTTTTTGGTCTGAAACCGGAGTACCCAGAGAAAACCCACGCATGCATGGAGATAACATACAAACTCCACCCAGGAAGGCCCCTGGACCTGGGTTTGAACCAAGGACCTGCTCGCTGAGAGGCAGCAGCTCTACCAGTTGTGCCACCGTGCTGCCCGGTGATAGAATCAAATCTGTCATTTCATCAGGGGCAGCAAAATGCAAGGAAACTGAGGGTGGTGAAAGAATGATGTTACTGGTCATCCATGACTCAGCACTGGCCTGCCGTGACACCTACAAGCAGCTCGCTCTGCACCCAAGATTCATCTTCTTTACTCCGGGCTGTCAGTGACAGCACATTGCACTGAGCTCCATTGCTCCCCAACACCAGACGCACAGCTCATCTCAGTAAGGTGACACTGCAGGAGTCCACCCCAGTGCATCTGGTCAGCCACTCAATGCTGCAAGATTCTCA